TCAGAAGGCAACACCCACCGCTCAGGCTCCACTGGACTGTTTTGGATTGCTACCTATTGGGGGGGGGACAGACGTGCAGATCTGTCCTCACAGAGGAGGGAGAGCTTGTACCTGAATAAAACTTGGGTCTTAAAGGTGCCACTGGACTGTTTTGGACCGGGGGGCCAGGGGAGGAGCTCTGCAGCTTACCTGGCTGCTTCTTGCTCTGAGGGCTGCAGGGAGCAGGGGGTGGGGCTTGTTGCATGTGCCCGCCCCCTGGGCTCTTTACTGCCGGAGCTCCACTCCTGTGCGCTCCTGCAGGAAATGACCCCTGGGCGTCTTAGTTTGAATTGATTTATTAGACATATCTCGCCCTCCCCCGCAAGCGAGCTCAGGGTGGGCCACATCATTTCAATCTACAACATAAGAAGAAGACATTAGAGTTTAAACAGAACAAACAAACAAAATTAACATTAAAAGATAAAATTTAAAGTCAAGTTTCAGTCCGATCAGATAGATGGCAACTAGTCAAGGCAGATTCGTGGTGCCTCCTGCGATGATGCTCTCTCTGTGGGTCTCTGTGAGCAGGGCAAATTGCGCTATAAGCCCCGGGAGCAGGAGAGGCCGAGAGGGTTGGACGACCACCACCTCAACCCAAGCCCTGGAGGAACAGCTCCGTTTTACAGGCCCTGTGGAATTGTAATAGATCCCGCAGGACCCTGATGTCAACTGGGAGCACTTTCCACCAAGCTGAGGCCAGGGCAGAGAAGGGCGCTGGTCGAGGCTAAATGGACGTCCTTTGGGCTGGGGACTGCCAGGAGAGTGTAAAGCTCTCCGGGGCACATACGGGAAGAGACCGTCCCATAGGTATGTTGGTCCCTGGCCGCATAGGGTTTTAAAGGTCAGTACCATGACCTTGAACCAGATCCAGTACTCAGTTGGCAGCAATGCTCCCTCTAAGCTGTGGAGTCTCATGAGCAAAAATTCCACTCTGTGAGCTCCTGGCATTAAAGTTGTGAGCCAGCGATTTGGCTGCTGTGTAAATCAGTTTGCTCTGGAGCCATCCTTCCTGAGCTTGGACAAATATGTCTGAGCCGGAGGCTAAAAAGCTGTGAGCTAGCTCGCACTAACTCAGCTTAGAGGGAACACTGGTTGGCAGCCAGTGCAATTGGTGCAACACCACCTGATGATTACAAGGGCTTCTGTTACTTTTCTTACCCAAGTTATCAAATAGCCATTGGGTGAGTAAAACCCTCCAAGAGCAAAGCCGTGTGGTTCCACTTCCTTTTATGCCCAATTCTGGTGAGCAAGAGATGTATCATGAGAGCAAACTCTGCCTGAGAAGTACAGCAGAGCTGGTTCTTTTGGTGATCCCTTTGTGCCTCCCGAGGTGTCTTTTGCCTTCAGTCGCTGCGGTTTAATGGCACACAGTTTTGATGGTAGCTGAATTGCCTAAATCTTTCACTTCTGTTCACTTTCCTTCTTTCTGATGTCTTCCCCCCCCCCTCCAGAGTGATCGGCTACTCATTAAAGGCGGACGGATTATCAATGATGACCATTCATTCTATGCAGATGTGTACCTCGAAGATGGACTTATAAAGTTAGTTTTAAACTTTGAACTTTCTTTACCTGTCTTGATGCTGTCTACATTCTGGCCAGTTTAAGGTCCATCAGCATCTCTCAGCAACTGCATGTAGTAAAAAATAAGGTGATGCAGGGTGAGGAATGTGCAGAGTTAATGTGGTGAGGAATGTGAAGAATAGGCACCCCCCCATTTGCTGGCACTTTGCAAACCCACCGAAGATGATGTGTTAAAAACAGCTTTAAAAAAGAGTTAGACCCCAGTACATGTTACGTGTGCATGATACTAAGTTAAATGCTAGCGACTGGAAATACTGATAAGGTTTTTGACTGGTGCCCATTTATTAGATTTCTGTCGTCCTGTTAAGGATTTTTTTCTAAACAACTCTGATAACCTTTGTATAGGATCTTATAGTGAGAACTATGTAAAAAGACAAGAAATAGGACAACCATTTTGTGCGCTGTGCTTCTGAAGAAGTGTTTTTTCGAAACGAAGTAAGAATCCGGAGTCTTCATAACCGTTTACGGATCTACCCTGCCTTAATTTGTAAATTGCAGGAGCTATGTTTACTGTTCTACTTTGTCTCAATTTGTGAACTGCAGGAACTTTAGCTCATTGCTTCGATGAATGTTACAGCTTATGCTTTCCCCCTCCATGTATGTTGTTATGCACAGCATGGTTTAACTACATAATGTTTGCATCCTTCCTCCTCCCCCCCCTTTACTGGTTCCAGCTGGGCAGTCTCCTTGCTTTTTGTTTTTGACTAAGTTAAATGTTGCACATAGATCCAGGTGGGGTAGCCATGTTGGTTTGAAGTAGCAGAACGAAGTTTTGCTTCCAGTGGCACCTTTAAGACCAACAAAACTTTATTCAAGCTTATACTTTGAATAAAACTTTGTGGGTCTTAAAGGTGCCACTGGACTCAAACTTTACTTAAATGTTGCAGATTAGACTTTAAACTTGTTTTTTATTCTTGAGATCTTCAAGATTGTTGGTATCCCCATCTGATAATCATGTTGCTTTTCTCTGACTCATGGAGTAATTGGTGGGGAGAATCTTTGTGCCTGAAGAAAGCGCTTCCCTTAGTGGATGGATCGGTGGGATCCAACCCAGCAGTTCTAGGCAGTGGAATAAACAGCCCTTGTTATTTCTTGTTAGGCAAATAGGAGAGAATTTGATTGTTCCTGGGGGAGTGAAGACCATCGAGGCGAATGGGCGACTGGTTATTCCTGGAGGCATCGATGTCAATACTTACCTCCAGAAGCCCTGCCGGGGGATGGCTGCCGTGGACGATTTCTACCAAGGCACAAAGGCTGCTCTAGCGGGAGGCACCACCATGATCAGTAAGTCCTGGCGAGGTACTTGGTTGAAAAGACGGGATGTGTTCCTTTCACTGGAGGCTCGGAGAAGAACTTGCTCTCCTCCTTCCATGTGAACAAGGGGCAAGGCCAGAGCTCTTGTAAGGACTGTGGGTTTTTTGAAGGTCGAAGAACTGCTCCTCAGTGAAGACCTTGGGCTGGATCCTGTGGGAGTTCCACTGACGGAAGTGGAAGGAGGGTAGGCCTCGGCCAATCCCTATCTTTGCTTCTGCCCCCTGACTACAGGGCCTTTTGTCTTTGAGGGTTCCCCAGCCTCTGTGGGTTGCTGGGAGGGAGGGGAAGGTGGAGGAATGACCCACCTTTGCCAGGGGAATATCCGTAGAAGCCAGCCCCTTAGATCCCCCCCCCCGCCCCCCAGACTGTGTGCCCAGTGTGACGTGCTTTGCTTAGAAATATCTAGCTCTTCCCTAATCTTAGTCCTTTATGCTTTTTGCACTGATTGTCGCAGTGATCTCATGCAGGTCAGCGCCAGCCAGGGAGCCTTCTGTTGGTTTGGGAATCTCAAACCTGGGTTTCCCGCCAGGAGCCCATATCTGCCCTCAAGCTCTGGCTTCCTTTAAAAGAGCCCCTGCATGGTGTACGTGTGTGCAAACGTGGCTGCTGTCTTCACATTTTAGGTTTGCATTGCAGTGAAAACAAATGATATACCCAGAAGCCTTTTGCGTGTGGATTGGAATGTGGTGAATCTCTTTTGCTCAGGTGCATTATTCTGTCTCTAAATCCCGCTGATTATGCACAGAAAGCAGTAGAAAATTTTTCTTTATATCCAGCCGCTACCTTTCTGCCTGTAATTTAAACCCATTCTTGTGAGTCCTCTCCTCTGAGGCCAACAGGAACAGCTCCCTGCCCTCCTCCCCCAAGGGACAGAGCCCTTCAGATACTGAAAGAGAGCAGTCCTGTCCCTCCTTGACCTCCTCTTCTCCAGACTGAACGTTCCCAAGTCCCCCAGCCTTTCCTCGTAGGGCCCTTGGCCTCCAGGCCCCTGATCGTCTTCATTGCTCTCCTCCGCACCCACTCCGTTCTGCCCACATCCAGTTTGTAGGAGGGCGTGCAGGAAAATAACAATAGTGGAGTAAACTGGGTGGTTAAAAGCTTTTCAAGCTTTCAGGCCTGCCAGGTGTCAGACTCCCATTGCATCAACGAAGCACACACTTGTAGAAAAGGTTTTACTTTTATTTGAAGCAATAGGTGCATAACAGGATCACTGTTCAGAATGAGGCATAAGCATGGATCCCAAGAGATTATAGTTAATTCAAAAAGCTGAGGCCCAATTGCGGGACTTCCCGCGCGCGCCATTGAGCCTGGGAAGCAATGCTCCTACTTAATCATAACATACTGCTTCTCATGGATAAAGCCATGAGGTCACTCAAGCTACTACCCGCCAGCAACCACCTGTGGCCTTGAGAGATACGAACGTTCCTGCAACTAGGCAATTAAGCGTATAAACAGGCATACATGGGAAAGTGAATGCAAACAAGCGCATACCCAAGGAATAAGGGCACAGACGAATACACACAGAGCATAGTGAAACATAAGAGCATACACAGAGTAGAGGGAAACATATTGGCAGCTTGCTGACACCAGGTTGTTCTTGACTCATTGTTTATGTCACAGCCAATGTTGTCTCTAAGCTGTGGAGTCTTGTGAGCAAAAAATCTACTTTGTGAGTGTTATTATTGGGAGTGAACCATTCCAGGTATGTCACACCAGAGACTGGAGACTGGCTGAGCTTGGAGCACAAGAACAATAGCCTGCCAGGACTCTGGAAGTAACTAATCAAGTAGTAATGTTATGTAAATAACCTATCACTGGGAGTGGGGTGAGTGTGGCAATTGCAGGCTATTTAGCAGAGCTGCGGCTCTGGGGGTCTTGTCTTGCTCTTGCTGAAATCACAAATAAAGTTGAGCTGATCACTGGACTCGAGCCTGCTCATCCATGGAACCCACCATTTAACAGTGAGCTACTGGCATTAAAATTATGAGCGAGCGATTTGGCTACTGTATAAATTAGTTTGCTCTGGAGCCATCCTTCCTGAGCTAAGACAAAAATGTGTGAGCCAGAGGCTAAAAAACTGTAAACTAGCTCACACTAACTCAGCTTAGAGAGAACACTGCTGTTAGAAACCCACAATTCTGACACTCCCTTGGCATCAATAGGAAGCCGACTCTCCTGTAGGATTGACACCTGGCTGGAGTAAAAACATCCTGTCCCCTTAATAGAGGCTTCGCGGGAAGGTGATTTACCAGGTGATGTTATTTGCCTCCATTCCATGAAAAACTTGGGACTGCCATTTCCACGCCTTGAGCCTCCATTAGAGGGGCAGGACTCTGCGATTGCACAAGCAACCCTTCTGTCATTAGCAAGGCATCTTGTTATTCGACAATAAAGGGACAAAAGGTGGATATTGTTTCCTGTCCATAATGATGCCTTGGCAGATGCCTCGGCAGAGAGCCAGTTTGGTGCAGTCGTTAAGTGCGCGGACTCTAATCTGGGAGAACCGGGTTTGATTCCCCACTCCTCCACTTGCACCTGCTGATGTGACCTTGGGTCAGTCACAAGCTCTGGCACAGCTGTCCTTGAAAAAAAGAGCAGTTTGTGTCAGAGCTCTCTCAGCCCCACCCACCTCACAGGGTGTCTGTTGTGGGGAGGGGAAGGGAAAGGAGTTTGTAAGCCGCTCTGAGACTCCAGGTGAAGGGCGGGGTATAAATCTTCTTCTCCTTCTTCAGTCTTGCTTTGGCAAAAAAGGGGGGCGGCATTAAGAGTTAGCAGCCGTCCCTGGGAGGGCCCCCGTGGTATGTTGCTTAGAATGTCGGTCTGAGATCCGGAGGGCCCGGGTTCAAGTCCTTCCCTGGCAGCGAAGTTGACTGGGTGACTTTAGGGTCATTCTCTCACCCAGTCTAATTTACCTCTGTGAGAATGACACTGAGCAAGATTTGCCATGTACATGGATGTGGGCTTCTTGGAGAAAGGGCAGGATTTAAAAAGGGATGGCTCAATTCCTTGTCCCAAGAAAGTAACCGGTTTCTTTAAGACCTTGGAAAACCTGAGCTTTCATGGCCCGGCTTGTTTCCAGTACAATCCTGTGAGATGCTTCTGTCGGTGCTGTGCAGATTGTCGGGGCTCAAAATCCCCGGACGCTTCATGGTCTGTGTCCCCTCCTCCTCCTCCTCGCAGTTGACCACGTCCTTCCAGAACCGGGCTCCAGTTTATTAACCTCGTTTGAAAAGTGGCACGAGGCAGCGGACACCAAATCCTGTTGTGATTATTCCCTCCACGTGGATATCACCAGCTGGTACGATGGGATTCGGGAAGAACTGGATATACTGGTGCAAGACAAAGGTCAGTGATGGGCCGGGGGCCAGGCGGGAGGTGGGATGCGGAGAAGGCAAGAGGTGCTTTTTAGGGAAAGGGAGACTGTCATTTAATTGAAATGTCCGGTGAGCCTCCTCGGCCTCTCCCTCTGGGAGTTTCCAGGACTCAGGAGCACGGAGAGGGATGGCCAGGGCTTGGTGCCTCCCATTTGTGGAGTCTTTCTAGAGAGCCCCCGGAGTGTTCCCGTCTGCCAGGCCTGCTTCTCTTTCTGGCCGTCAGCTGCGCAAACTGACAGCCTCTGGGGTGACTTTTTTGTGCAGATTTTGTGTCTGAAAAGGGGCCTGCAGAAATTGGCACGGATGACAGTGACAGGCCTAACCTGTGTGGAAGACTGTCTCACAAGGGACTTAAGTGATCTCTCTGGACCTTCTCAGCCATGAACTGTTACAGCTGCTGCTGCTGCTGAAGGCAATTTTTACACACAGAGCCCTGTGTGTGTGTGTGTGCGTGTGCATGTGTGTCTGAGAGAGATCCAGATGTAAAGATCTCTTTCTTCTAGAAGGAAGGCGTAAGGGTCCACGTGGGGCCCCTCTCACCTGCTGCCCAGCCTCTGCAGCCACCGGCAGTGCCATTGGCAGGTTAGGGGATACAAAACCACATAGCCCACTCTTTGGGCGAAGGGCTGCTTGGTGGGGCTGAGACCTACGGAGTGTGGAAGGCGGCCCTGCCCAGGAAGGAGATCAGCTGCTCCCAGCTGGGCTGCCCATGGGCCAGAGCTCTCGGGAGGGGTCTGTCCTTCCCCCTGGCAGGGCCAGAGCTTCCATAAGGCAGGGTTAGGCAATTGCCTTAGGGTGCCATGTGAGAAGGGCGCCCACTGGCCTGCCGCCCCACTCCTCCCCCACCTCATCAAACGCCTGCCAGGCTGCTCTGCTCGTGGAACTGAAGGGGCAATCTGAGCATGTGCACGTTGCTGCCCACCGTCCATCTCAGTCAGCTGCCGCTTTGCTGCGCCTCCTGCCCACCGCTCCCCCAGAACACAAAGCCGCGCCCCTTTGAAAGGTTGGTTTGGTGGTCCATGAGGGCAGCGGGTGCCAGGGGGGAGGGTGGCAGGCACCAGGCTGTGGGCACCGCTGGGCTGCTCCAGTTGGGGCTGCCGGAGCCGGTGGAAAATTAGGTGCATGTTTTTTGGGGGGATTTGGAGCAGCTGCTGCCCTCCCCTCACCGCTGTCTGGACTGCTTGCACAGCAGGGGGCGGGCTCCAAGATGGAAGTGGCTGTTCCAGCCCCCTCCAGAGGAAGATGGGAGACCTCCCCCCTCAAGCTGATCCGAGCAGGTAGCCCTTTTCAAGGGGAGTGGGCAAAGCCCCCCGAAGAAGTGCGCAAGAGAGCCTGCGCTTTTTCGCCTCCCTCCCCCAGGGAAGGAGCTTTCGCAGAAAGGGGGAGGGAAAAAACACAAGCTTCTTGCAGGTTCCCCCCAAAACACAATTGCACTTAGCAATGCCTTTTGTGCCCAGTAGGGGACAGAGGGAGGAGCTGCAACCGGGATTCTGGGGACTGGTGTGTGTGTGTGTGTAGAGACGTTCTTTCGCTGCCATGCAAAAATCTGGCTTGGATGGCAAAGACCAGGAGCCCGTCTTGCAACTGCAGCACGTCCGGGGAGGGAGATTGCTAGCTGTGTGTGGACTCCGCGCCTGTCCCTTTAAGGGCTGCCCACGGGCGGGAGGGTACTCAACAGGTTCTTCCTACCTTCGGCCACAGCAAAAGGCTTGCCAGGCGGGAACAGCGGCCTCGTTCCTCCCCCTCTACGGGTCAAGTACACCCCCATGAATCTGGCAGGCTGGCAATAGGTGCAGGACTGTGAAAAGGAAGTGCACGCAGCCCAACCGGACTAATTAGCGTCTGTCATTCACTGCCACAAGTTCAGGTGGCCTCCCCCAGTTTAGGGGGTTTCAAAAGGGTTAGGCAACTTTAAGGAGGTCTGTTAGCCAGGATAGCTACGGAGACGTTCCCTGTATAGTTTCTCTAAAGACCAGCCGCTGGGTACCAACAATGGAGAAAGTGTGCCAAAACTTTCCATGGGTATTTGGCCAGCTGTGAACAGAATGTGGACTCAAGCAAGGTACTTCATATGTACCTGTTGGAATTTTCCTAGTTATATAGCTACTAAGGTGCATCATAGCTCAGCCACTGTTGAATGTTGAGCTCTTTGCTGGACTGTCAAGAGTGTCTCTGAACATGTGCAATGTGCATCCCCCCTCACCATCAAATAACCACAGGTTAGCCATCTACATGAGAAGTAAGGAGTGGTTTAGGAGCAACTTTGAGCCCCAGCACCTTTTAAAGGAGGGTGGTGGCGGCATTTAGTGACCAGAATCATGCCTGCATGGGGGTAACCTTAATTCCAGATACCGTTTAATGTTTCATGTTTTCACTAGGCTATTGTTTTTACCCTCGCTAACCCATTCCATCCTGAGGTTTCAGGCAGGCAACAACCTAGCTTGAAAAGCACACCATTGGAGACGGACAGTGCAGTCTCATTCAGAGTTACCCCAGTCTGAACCCAATGATTAAACTGGAGTCACTCTGCATCGGCTTGACCTGAAGGAATTGGTGACAAAATTTGCTAAAGAAAAGGCAGGCAAAATGAGATTCTGATGTGCCTGAAATGGAAACATTAAAGAGACTTAAGTTTCAACATCACAATTAACAGGATTTTCCAGAATGCTTTATGAGTTGTGTTTTTCTGTTTGAGAGAGAAAATCAGAGACGGTATTACTTGTTCTCACAATTAAAGAAAAAGATTAGCAGTTTCAAATTTTGTGTTTTTCATTCTTCCTAACATGCATTTATGTTTAAAAATGGGGGGCGCGCACAGGGGGGCACCAGAAGGTAGCCTTGCCTAGTGTGCAAAAAAGCCTGGCACCGGCCCTGCCCCCGCTGCCAAGGCAGAGCCAAGTGCCCGTGCTGCAGAGAGCAAGAGGAGGTGTGGGTCCCTCTGTTATGGCCGGAGGGTGGTTAAGCCGGGCCGATGGGCTCGCCTCTTGGGTGCCCGGTGCCCCGTAGCAGTGTTGTTGGGCGCAAGAGGCCTGGCATCGGGAACAGTTGTTGTTGGCGTCCACAAGGTTTGTTGCTTTAGGTTGCAAGATGTTTGTGTGTGTGTGTGTGTGTAGTCTACAATGCTTCACAAGTCTTTCTCTTGGCACAGACTGCCCTTGATCATGTGTTTGCATGGTGCTGGGCACCAGGGGCTGGTGGGGCTCCCTGACTGAGCAGGTGGGGGGCGGTGCCTGGCCTGCTTTGGCCACTCCTTCATTGTGTAATGCGGGGGGAGGCAGCTTCTGTGTTTGTGCCCAGGGTCCCCCCCCCTTGTTTGATATGATTTGACTCAGGACTGGAAGGACACCGTGCCGACTCTGGGGAGCATTTAGAAGCCAGAAGACTTGACCCGGGGTTCCTGAATGTCTCTCCATCCTGACCAGCCCAGGGTCTGAGATCTCAGCCAGCCTGGCCTCCCTGGGTGAGCCTCTGTTTTCCGAGCCCCACGGGAGGCCCTGGCCCTAGCTTGCTCAGATGGGGTGGGATTCCCTCCCCGAGGAGGGGCTGTCTTTAAGTGGTCTTCCGGTATCAGCTGAAGGCGGCCTTGTTGCCTTTGAGTGGAGCTGTTGGTTTGTCTGAGGTCTGGATGTGGCTGGGTTGCTTTTTGCTTTCTTTAGGTCTTATTGTATGTTTTATATATTTTTTAATCAGTTGCAAACTCTTTGAGGGCTTCACGTGAGGCAGAAAGGTGGCAATTATATAAAGCGACAATCAAAGAGATAAGGAGGTCTGTGGACGTCTGGGGATGGGAAGGCCTTGGGCTCTTGGCGGTCCTTCACTGGTGTCCAGCAGAAAAGAAGAAACTGATGGGATTTTGCCCCCCCCCCTCCATGAGGGGAGCGAGGCTTCCTCTGTCTAAAGATGGAGGCTAGGTGGAGGTGCGCCTGTCCTCTGGGGGGCCAGGGTTTTGTCCTTTGCCAACCAGAATATTCAGAGAATGTCAGAAAAAGTGCTCAGTTATAATCTTTGCATCCCACCCTCTTCTCTCCTGGGACTCCGGGTGGCCTGAACAATGCCATAATGGCCTCACCGCGTAGTTTGCATCTGCAGTATTGTTATAAGAGTTTTTTTGGAGTGTGTGTGTGCATGAGTGAGGGTGTGTGTGATTTAATACATTTAATATAGGTTGGGGTGTGTATGATAGAATTTCACACACACAATGTTTTGGCCTTGTGTTTGCGGTGGCTCAAGTGGTTAAGACGCTGAACTGCAGACCGGGAGGTCAGTAGTTCAGCAGTTTGAGACCCGAGTGCCGTCTCTGGCCCTAGCTCCTGCCAACCTAGCAGTTCGAAAGCAGTGGGAAGGTAACAGCATCCCGTGTGCCTCGGCGTCTTGTCATGCCGGCCACACGACCACGGAAATGCCTTCGGACAGCGCTGGCTGTTTGGCTTGGAAACAGAGATGAGCACCGCATCCCTAGAGTCGGATTCGACTGGCTTTCCAAGCAAGGGAAACCTTTACCTTTACCTTGCAACTGATATGTCCCAAAGATGTGTATTTCTAAAGGTCTCCCAGAGCCACCCTGAACGGTGTCTGTGGGTTTTAGTTTTCCACTTCTGTGGGGAGGTCCTGATTGGTTTGTATCTCTCTGTCTCCTTTGGAGGCTCCTCAGTGGCTGGTGGTTCTTGTGAGGACTGTAGGAGGCCTTAAGATGTGCCGCTCCTGACACGGGGTCTGAACGTGGCCGTGGTGTCACTGACCGTTGAGCCAGGCCAGCCTCGAGGGCTCTCGGCAGCAGTGCCATTGCAGACTGCATCGGAGGTATTCAAAGGAAATCCCCAGAGCTCAGGCCGAGTGTGGATTGGGGGTGGGTGGGAATCTTTGCAGTCAGGCAGGGGAAACCTGCAGACTGAGTTTTCTTAGAATGTTGGCTATGCTGCTATAGTAACTATACCGGATTGTTAAAATGGGTTAATGCAGGTTCAAAAAGGGAAAATAATGTAAAAAGCATTACCTCAGAAGGCAACCCTTCTTTTCTTCCTGCGACAATCTGCCTGCGGTTTCAGTGCTTGGTGCAAATTACCTGCTCTGCTATCAGTCCTTTAACTTAAACGGCTTCCCACATACTGCAGCGTTTGCGTGGGGCATAAGCGGAAGGCGTGGGAAGATTGCACTCAGCCTGGGGCCAGGTCTTGGCTTCCTCCAGATTTCCTCTGCCTGCATGCAGCCCTAATCCAGCTCACCCGACGGCTGTTAGGTTTGTGGCATTCGGCATGGGCTTTGTGACCCCAGTGCGGGGTAGTGGCTATAGGGCAGGATCCGGGAAACTCGGGTTCAAATTCCCACTCTGCTGTGGAAACTGACCGAGTGATCCGGGGCCAGTCACATCCTCTCCACCTCACCTACCCCACAGGGTTGTTATGAGGATAACATGAAGGAGAGGAGGATGAGGTCAGCCGCTTTGGGTCCCCGTAGTAAGTAAGTAAGTAACTAACTAACTGGAACGTGTGCTGCGGCAGCCCAACAGTCCACCCGGGCAGGACTCGCTCGGCTCCTGAGCCTGGGCAGATTGGGTCTTGCCATGCTGAGCGGGATTAAAATGGATGAACAGATGTGCCAAGTCATGTGTCGTAACATGCAGCATCTTGGATTGCAGGAAAAACAATGTAAAAATCCAAATGGGGAGACATTTCTTGAAGAAGACAAAATAAGATGGATATACCAGCACTGTTATCTACCCTTCCCTACTTGTCCATTATTGGGGCTGTGGTGGCTCAAGTGGTTAAGATGTTGAGCTGCAGACCAAAAGGTCGGTAGTTCAGCTGTTCGAGACCCGAGTACCGCGTGACGGAGTGAGTGCCTGTCTCTGGCCCCAGCTCCTGCCAACCTAGCAGTTCGAAAGCAAGAAATTGCAAGTAGATAAATAGGTACCGCTTCGGTGGGAAGGTAACAGCGTTCCGTGCACCTCAGCGTCTAGTCATGCTGGCCACATGACCACGGAAATGCCTTCGGACAGCGCTGGCTCTTAGGCTTGGAAACGGAGATGAGCCTAGAATTCTAGAATCCCTAGAATCGGATTCGATTGGCTCTCAGGCAAGGGAAACCTTTACTTTTACCTTTACTTGTCCACTGCCTCCAGCTCCACTGACCGAAGTCAACTTGATGTGGAGGCTTCATATACAAACTGGCTGAAATGCTAAGCCTGAATAAAAAAGCAGCCATGCATGTACTAGTAACCCCGAGCTGTTAATTAACATCTACAGTGTTAACAACCCTGTGTTCTATCAGCTCTACAGTGCTAAAAACAGGTGCTTACGAAATCTCTTGCTTTGCATGACTTAATTTCCCCCTCTGTAACAGGTGTTAATTCCTTTCAAGTCTACATGGCCTACAAAGATCTCTACCAAATGACTGACAGCCAGGTAATCTGCATGCTTTTCTTCCCGGGGATCTTTGCATCCCAGTGCG